CATAAAAATTTTAGGATATGTAGAATTTTTCATTGTGAACAACTTTATTTAATATAAAAAGATCGATTTACTTAATATATAAAAACTTAGCAAAAATAATGTTTCATTGTACCGCCATTACTTTCGCCGGGGACTGTATATTTGTGTGTACATACCAATTTTATTTTGCAAGTTAGGAAGGAGCTTCGAATTACGATTGAACCATGTGGTTTATTTTTTGGAAGACAAAGAAGAAGGAGAAGGAGAAGGAGAAGAAGCCACTTTACCAGGAATAGCATTATCATCACCTTCCAAATTGATTATCACAATCGGGCTTTTACCTTTATTTTTATATTTTATCATTGGTTCGGCTGGTTTTCTAATGACTCTTTCTTGCTTTCAATTTTTATTTGAATATTAACTTGGCGACGGAAGAAAATTAGACATTGTATGATTATTATCAGTTAAAGGGCAAATTGTGTTATCAGACAAACCAATTGTTGACCAAATGAGGAGCATTAGCGGATATACTAATAAATTATATTTGTTCATGACACTCAGTCGTGTTCCTGACATTCTTCGCCTCTAATTTTGCTCATCTTTTATCCTTGACATTTTTTATCTCTTTTTTGCAGATGTTGCTTTTCAATGTCTATTGAAATGGTAAAGGTTATGGCGATGACGATGAGTTAATAAAGATAAATAAAATCAAATAAGAATGCATATAAACATAAATCACTTGCACATATATTCAGATATTCACGAATATGTTGATTACAATTATTGGTTCTGTGATAGATGGGCGAGAAAGTAAATTAATATAATTTACACACTAGCTCAATTTTTTCAAAATGTTCCTTATCTAATGATGACTCAAAAGCTCTATATATTTAACGTTAAAAAGGATATGATTATCGGTAATGATAAAAGAAACTTGCCGCCCTCGTTTCTTGTGCCTTCTTTTCCGGTTCTGAACAACGTTTTCACATGTTGAAAAAAATTTAGAGGCTAGCATCATAATAATTTCCTTTTTCCTAATTTCTCCAAAGGCAAAGAAATTTGTTTATACAGTACTGACTGTCAATGAAATTAGAATATTTAATGAAATGTATACAATATGTATGTATGTGTTTATGTAGAGGAGAGAAAGCTCTATTTGTAAAAATAGTAAAAATACTTTAAGTATTTTTCGTGATTTTATTAGAAACATTATTTTTTTAAAAAATAATATTTAGCGTTGGGCTTTTGATTAATGAAATATTTTTTGTTGAAAATTTCAAAAATTTCAAATTTCATCTTTTTTTAGGGTATAAAGAATTTATTTACTGTCAGATCTTCTATTGTCTAGATCTGGATGATTTCTACCATTAATTTAAATGGCCTTTTATACATTGTTGCAAAGCAAATTTACCTTCACACATCTTTTCAATATCTTATATCCGTTGATACTAGTTAATGGACTTATGTCACGTGATAGACAACATTTGCAAGATCTCAATTAATATTAACCAACTAATCAAAATTGGTGGTATGGCGCAGAAAGTTGTGGAACCAGCATAACGGAAGTTTGATGTTACACGAAATGTTATACAGAACCCATTGTTCCTGAAACCTTCATCAGTATATAGTTGCTACCTCTCTAAATTTGAGATCAAATTCAGATCTAATTCAAATCTAGTTTATCACTTACTTTTTTGTTGCCAGAATGTTTGCCATGTATTGTAAAGCTACGTTGTACAATATAAAAATTAGTGTAACATTTCAAAATTTCCACTAAGATTAAGATTGGTCACGATATTTATTATAATATATATATGTGGGAAAATGGGAAAAGTTTAGAAATTATTTATGCATGTATAAAATAAATTCTAAATAAATAAAACTAAAATAAAAATAAAATTATATATGATCAATTGTTTCATGATGAAATATCTATCTATGTAGTTACACGAAATGCTATACAGAACCCATTTCTCCTGAAACTTCACCAGTATATAGTTGTTACCTCTCTAAATTGGAGATCAAGTTCAGATCCAATTCAAATTCAGTTTATAACTCACTTTTTTTATTGCCAGAATGTTTGCCGTGTATTGTAAAGCTACGTTGCACAATATAAAAAATTAGTGTAACATTTCAAATTTCTTAAATAGTGTGTAACTATTCAAAGACAAAAATTTTTTAATTAATATCCATTATGCGATAACGAACGACGAGTCACCTAGTCAACGTAATTATTTTGTAAAGATGAAATTTTTTTAACATAATAGAGCTTATTTATTTATTGTGCAATGGTAATAAATCAGTAAGTTTTGTAAAAAGACAATCCCTTTGTTTTCACACGATTCGGAGAGATATTTTTTATTGCTTATATTTTATTATTATCGTAAAGAGACTTTTTTTAATATTAATCAATTTAATAAAATTTATATACTAATAAGCACATATGTGCAATTTTATTTATTAATAATAAAATTAAGGTGGTGGCAAAGGTTGGTCTATACATGAGAGAAAAGTTTTCAATAACACTAAGAAATTATTTATCCATGTATTTTAAAACATGTATAAGATAAATTCTAAAATAAATAAAACTAATTGACTAACAATCTTTTGCAAAAAAAAAAATTAAAAATAAAAATTAAAAATAAAAATAAAATTATATATGATCAATTGTTTCATGAGGAAATATCTATGTAGTTGTTATTTATTATAATAGTAATAAATAGTGTGTAGCTATCTATTCTAAGGCATGATTTGGAGATAGATTTTAATAATTAATATCCATTATGCGATAATGAACGGCGAGTCACCTAGTCAACGTAATTATTTTGTAAAGATGAAATTTTTTTAACATAATAGAACTTATTTATTTTATTGTGCAATAGTAATAAATCAGTAAGTTTTGTAAAGAGACAATCCTTTTGTTTTCGCACGATTCGGAGAGATATTTTTTATTGCTTATATTTTATTATTATCGTAAAGAGACTTTTTTTTTTGCAGGTGGTGACACTAATTTTTATTTCCTTTTTAAGCTATTATATTTGTGTCAAAGGTTGAATATATTAAACAAAAAATTTTTTTTTCAAAAATAATAGAATAAAATAATATATAAAAAAAAAATTAATGTCTTTTACAATTTTATTTACCCTCCTACTTATGTATAAAAAATTTTTTCTAACAAGTGAAACATAAAATTTACATATATATAGATGCGGTGAATTTTCTCAAGTAGTTATAAAAAAAAAAAATACTTTTCACCTCATTACATAAAATTAAATTTTATTTCTCTAAAAAAAAAAATTTAAATTCTTATTATCTAGAAACACACACAGTAATGGCGAGAAAATATCCTGTAAAATTCAAAAACAATAACCGTAATTTCAGAAACAATAACCACAATTTCATAAACAATAATAATAAAGTTGGATTTAATAATCGAGCTGGTTTTAATAACGGAGCTGGTTTTAATAATAATGAAGCTGGTTTTAATAACGGAGTCGGATTAAGAAACGATAACAACGTAGTATGCTTCATTAATTCGATCCTTCAAGTCATCGTGCATCTTCCCAATGTAGAAAGGCATCTAGAATCTAACAGCAACCATCAATGTAAATACTCTTTGCATTAATCAAATACTTTGATCATGCTATATATATTATTTAATTTATTAAATACTCTTTTATATCACTATTATCACTATCACTTTATTGCTATTATCACTACTATCACTATCTATTAATCATTATTATCACTATTATCGCTATTATCACTATTATCACTATTATCACTATATCGCTATTATCACTATGTAGGTGATTGTAGTCCTATATGTATTTTCAATGAGTTAAAACGGTTGCGTATTAAACTTATGGAATCACGGCAACCAGTTTATGCTGGCCCGTTCATCACCTATCTTACGGGTATGTAATTTAATTAATGTTTATTTGTATTATTTAAATGCGTATATTATTATAAATTAATTTACAACTTATATTGTTATTGTAGATATCGAACCATTCGCCGAGATAGACGAGCAAAATGATGCTTTCTTATATTTGTGTGGCATTCTTCAAAGGGTGGGTGAATGTGTCAATGAGAACATGATCGCACAAAATATGCATAATGATTTCTGGACAACTCTACAAAAGAAGGTTATTATTGTTATCATTATACAATGAAAAATTGATTCATTAATCGTTTATTTATAAATTGATATACTAACGAAAGAAAAAAAATTTATTAGATAACTTGTCAAAGTTGTAAGAGCGAGACTTTGTCGATAGAAGGGGTTGCTACGATCTCTACAGCAATGAAAAATTCAATAGAAGAGTGTTTGGAGGAGTATTGCGGAACCGCCGCATTACCTGGTTTCAAGTGTTCGTAAGTATTATTATCATTGTTATTATAATTTGATCTTGGAAATATCTGATTTTCTAAATAAGTCATAATCTTATTTATTAGGTGCAACAAGTTCACTTGCAACCAAGAACTTACAATAAAAGAAGAGCCAAATACCCTTATAATACAATTGAAAAGGTTCGGCTTCTCCAGCTCCACGAACCAAGGATACAAGATTTCAAAACGTGTGGAATTTGGAGAGGTGCTAGACATTTCGAAATATATTTTGAGGGTAAATAATTAAATAATTGATAATGATACGTTTATGCATTAATAACATAATGCTAATTAAATACAAATCATACAATTTATTGTTAAAGGGTAAAAATGTTCGTTATAATCTTAGCGCTGTCTTGGTTCATGAAGGTGGTACCCTTCGTAAAGGACATTATTATTCATATATCAAAAATAGAAACAATGAATGGTATTTATATAATGATAGATATGTTCAACGAGTAAGTATTATATATATATATATATATATATATATACAAGTTTTTCAATGGCAAATGATAAATCATATTAATTAATTAATCTTAAAAAATTAGGTTCCAATCAATTCTGTACTCGAGTGTAAGCCCTACGTCCTATTTTACACAAAAATAACACCTACATTCCCCGCATCTACACCATCATCAACGTCTAAAATTAATGATAAACGTGATAGAGACGAAAAGACTAACCTTTATGAGTCTAACGAAAGGATTAAAACCAAATCAACATCATCAACATCTAGCACTAACGATAAACGTGATAAAGACGAAAAGATTGACCTTTATGAGTCTAACGAAAGGATTAAAACCAAATCACCACCACCAACGTCTAAAATTAACGATAAACATGATAAAGACGAAAAGACTGGCCTTTATGAGTCTAACGAGATTATTAAAACCAAATCACCATCACCAACGTCTAAAATCAACGATAAACGTGACAAATATGAAAAGACAACCCTTTATGAGTCTAATGAAAGGATTAAAACCAAATCACCACCACCAACGTCTAAAATTAACAATAAGCATGATAAAGACGAAAAGACTGACCTTTATGAGTCTAACGAGACTATTAAAACCAAATCACCATCATCAACGTCTAAAATTAACGATAAACGTGACAAATATGAAAAGACAACCCTTTATGATTCTAACGAGATGATTAAAACCAAACCACCATCATCAGCGTCTAAAATTAACGATAAACGTGATAAATACGAAAAGACAAACCTTTATGATTCTAACAAGATGATTAAAACCAAATCACCATCATCAACGTCTAAAATTAACGACAAGCGTGATAGAAACGAAAAGGCAAATTTTTACGAGTCTAACGAGAGGATTAACGATAAACGTGATAAATATGAAAAGACAAATTTTTACGAGTCTAACAAGAGGATTAAAACCAAATCACCCTCATCAACGTTTAACAATAACGGTAAACGTGATAGAGACGAAAAGACTGCCCTTTATGAGTCTAACAAGAGGATTAAAACCAAATCACCACCACCAACGTCTAACAATTATGATAAACGTGATAGAGACGAAAAGACTGACCTTTATGAGTCTAACGAGAGGGTTAAAACCAAATCACCACCATCAACGTCTAAAATCAACGATAAACGTGATAAATATGAAAAGACAAACTTTTATGAGTCTAACAAGAGAATTAAAACTAAATCAACGTTTAACAATAACGGTAAACGTGATAGAGACGAAAAGACTGACCTTTATGAGTTTTACAAGATGATTAAAACCAAATCACCATCATCAACGTCTAACAATTATGATAAACGTGATAGATATGCAAAGACAAATTTTTACGAATCTAATGAGAAGATTAAAACCAAATCACCATCATCAACGTCTAAACGATAAACGTGATAGATAGCCCTTTACAAGTCTAATGAGAAGATTAAAACCAAGTCACCATCATCAACGTCTAACAATAACGGTAAACGTGATAGATATGAAACGACAGACCTTTACGGGTCTAACAAAAAAAAAATAAAAAAAAATCGCATTCATCAACATCCAACGTTAACAGCAAACGTGCTAGAGACCATTACGAGGTGGGGTTGGTTCAGCATCATGTATCAGTAAATCAACCAATAAATACCACCCCACCCTTAAACCACCTCGCTCCAATAAATACCTCCCCACCATGAGGTATTCAAACGGATATCCAAACAGATATACATCATCATCATCATCATCATAATCATCATAATCATTATATAAACCACCTAGTCGCAGTAAAGAGACTTATAATAAATTAATAAAACATTTGCTTCTACATCTTTTATACTATATTTTCATCATCACAAATTATATGATTCATACTGTATATACATACCGCCCAAATCCCAAATTATTACATCCCAAATGTACAAAGCGAATTTGGGCCAGCTTTCAAAGAATTCCCAAATCCCAAATTACAGAATTTTTGCCTGCAAGTTTTGTTGAAGAATTATCAAATTCTTGGACTAAAAAATAAATTAAAGATCAATGGTTATAGTATAATAAATACAAAAGAAACAAAAATACTAATACTTGACTTTTTTAATATTTCCGTTCAAATGGTAAAATAAATAATATACCTATATAATTTATTATTTTAAATAATTGATTCATTTTTTTGTTAATTGTAAAAAAAGATTCAGTGAATGAATGATCTTTACATTATAATGAATAATATTAAAAAGTCTCTGAAAGAGTTTTTCACGAACCTCTCTAAAACTTATTAACCAACACCCCTATAAAGTGATAACCATATGAAAGCTTACTATCAAGTCTTTTAAAGCGATATTGGTAGATAATCACAACTTTGATAAAGACGAAAAGACTGGCCTTTATGAGTCTAACGAGATTATTAAAACCAAATCACCATCACCAACGTCTAAAATCAACGATAAACGTGACAAATATGAAAAGACAACCCTTTATGAGTCTAATGAAAGGATTAAAACCAAATCACCACCACCAACGTCTAAAATTAACAATAAGCATGATAAAGACGAAAAGACTGACCTTTATGAGTCTAACGAGACTATTAAAACCAAATCACCATCATCAACGTCTAAAATTAACGATAAACGTGACAAATATGAAAAGACAACCCTTTATGATTCTAACGAGATGATTAAAACCAAACCACCATCATCAGCGTCTAAAATTAACGATAAACGTGATAAATATGAAAAGACAAACCTTTATGATTCTAACAAGATGATTAAAACCAAATCACCATCATCAACGTCTAAAATTAACGACAAGCGTGATAGAAACGAAAAGGCAAATTTTTACGAGTCTAACGAGAGGATTAACGATAAACGTGATAAATATGAAAAGACAAATTTTTACGAGTCTAACAAGAGGATTAAAACCAAATCACCCTCATCAACGTTTAACAATAACGGTAAACGTGATAGAGACGAAAAGACTGCCCTTTATGAGTCTAACAAGAGGATTAAAACCAAATCACCACCACCAACGTCTAACAATTATGATAAACGTGATAGAGACGAAAAGACTGACCTTTATGAGTCTAACGAGAGGGTTAAAACCAAATCACCACCATCAACGTCTAAAATCAACGATAAACGTGATAAATATGAAAAGACAAACTTTTATGAGTCTAACAAGAGAATTAAAACTAAATCAACGTTTAACAATAACGGTAAACGTGATAGAGACGAAAAGACTGACCTTTATGAGTTTTACAAGATGATTAAAACCAAATCACCATCATCAACGTCTAACAATTATGATAAACGTGATAGATATGCAAAGACAAATTTTTACGAATCTAATGAGAAGATTAAAACCAAATCACCATCATCAACGTCTAAACGATAAACGTGATAGATAGCCCTTTACAAGTCTAATGAGAAGATTAAAACCAAGTCACCATCATCAACGTCTAACAATAACGGTGAACGTGATATGCATGAAACGACAGACCTAACAAAAAAAGTAAAACCAAATCACGTCCAACATTAACGGTAAACGTGATTAGAGATGGGCAGATCAGTACTATACGTATAATACTATACGTAAATGTAAATCAATTCCTGTTTAGGTTATTGCCAAATAATAGATGTGATGTTACACATAAAAATTAATTAATCTC